ATATATTCATCCATGTATCTATTTATTTATTTATTAAATTTGTATGCCACCCAGTTAAGTCACAAAGCACAACTAAGAGTAATATAGATAATAGAATGCTACATAATTATACAGACAGTAAGAGAATAGGACATGTTGCTCACCTCTATTAATGCATTGTTACTGGAGGACAAATCCTGTTAATCTTTTAAGGCTTACTCTGAGTAGAGATGTATATATGATTATGCTTTCAGTGAAGAAAACTGTTCCTGGTCTTAGGGAGATAGAAGCATTGTTTGAATTAATAAATAAATGATATTTATCGGTCCCTGTAATTGGAATCAATTCCTGGTAATTTAAAAATTATTAGAAACAGCACACAGCAAATATCTAAAAACATAACATTCTAATTTAGATTTTTTTGGGGGGGAGGGAGATGCCATGTAAAAGAAACAGCTGCAATTAAGAAAATGAAGTAATCTGTTTTCCTCCTGCAGCATTCCCCACACCAGGACATATCTCTTATGTTGAGTTTATTAACAAATAATGAAAATGTAGGATAGGAAATTTAGAAATAAATAAATAGAGAAAAAGAGATGATGGGTGTGGAGAGAAAAAGAGTGTTGTATAACTACTCATGACTGGATCAGAAATACAGGAAATATATAGAAGTTACTCCACAGAAACAGAAATCTGCACATAGCTTTAGAGTGATTCAGTCTTAGCAATTTAGATATTTGGCAAGTCTTAGTACAATTTGAGCACTTCAAAGATTGGTTCTTTTTAGAGCAGCTTAATTGAAATCACAGGTTTGGGTCAGATTCATTCAATTAGTATGAACAGATTTCGGGGAATGTTAAGCCATAAATATATTTTACAACACTAGTGGGCTCTGCTGAATTGGACTGTGTGGTTTGTTCCTACCAGTCTAAATAGCAGACTGGGGACTGGCAGAGTCTGTGCAGGTGATACACTGCATTCAAAGCACTGCAACCCAAAAGCACTGCAAGCTTGTTTGATCTGGGAGTACTGTGGCTTTCCTCCACTTGCACTTTGCCATCACTGTGTGAATCCCGCCAAGTGCAAACCAACTCTCTGGACAGACTTTCAGAGATGCAAAAATAGAAGCTGGCATATTTGCGAATAAATTCAAGGCCTTACCTTTCAGTTTTTAGTGAACAGCTGAATATTGTTGTTGCCAAAAGCAAAGCAATGATGTGTATCAAACTATTCTGAATGGAAGAGCTTACTCTGTGTGTGTGTGTGTGTGTGTGTGTGTGAGAGAGAGAGAGAGAGAGAGAGCAGAGA